AAGCCTTGATGGAGTGACCTTGCCGAGCAACTTGCAAAGCTTGACTTTCGGAGGTACGTTCAACCAAAGCCTTGGTGGAGTGACCTTTCCGAGCAACTTGCAAAGCTTGACTTTCGGAGATTCGTTCAACCAAAGCCTTGATGGAGTGACCTTGCCGAGCAACTTGCAAAGCTTGACTTTCGGACTTTGGTTCAACCAAAGCCTTGATGGGGTGACCTTGCCCAGCAACTTGCAAAGCTTGACTTTCGGAATAAATTTTAACCAAAGCCTTGATCGAGTGACCTTTCCGAGCAACTTGCAAAGCTTGACTTTCGGAGATTCGTTCAACCAAAGCCTTGATGGAGTGACCTTGCCGAGCAACTTGCAAAGCTTGACTTTCGGACTTTGGTTCAACCAAAGCCTTGATCGAGTGACTTTACCGAGCAACTTGCAAAGCTTGACTTTCGGAGATGCGTTCAACCAAAGCCTTGATCGAGTGACATTTCCGAGCAACTTGCAAAGCTTGACTTTCGGAGATTGGTTCAACACACCCCCTTCATGGAGTGACATTGCCGATCAACTTGCAAAGCTTGACTTTCGGAGAAAGGTTTGACCAAAGCCTTGATCGAGTGACCTTGCCTTCAGGTCTTCAATTTTTCGATTGCTTTGGGATATGGGTCAGTGTATCCTGAATCGTGATCCTCCATTTTGTATGGATTCCTACATAATTATCAGATCCACAAGTGATCATAATCCAATTCCTGCCGTGTTGGCAGTGCATGCGTTCATTCCCAAAAATTGTGTCTGTGGCTGTGCCTAAGGCTCACTCCAAGATGCCTTAAGGCTTGATTTAGAGGGGGGGACCTACAGAAAGAACTATTTCATTTCAGTGGTCCCCCTATCTTAAATGAAGGGGATGGTATAAGTATAGTAATATGTCACTGTATGTTTATTATGCATATATAATCATATATATAGATATATATATATATAGATTTGTAGATACACATGGCTCAGATGAACATAGCAACTTGCCTGCAGGACAGTGACTGGGAGTCTGCCTGGGAGGCGGGAAAGTTGATCAGAGTTCAGCCGCAAAAATCCATGGATGCTGTGATTTATTCATGAAAAGTTGGGAGTTTTTGGATAACTCAACTGGATAACATCTATTAATGGGATAACTGGATAACTGGATTGTTTGGGGACTCAACATATTGGGAACCCGGAAATCCCAAGGTTTATCCATCATTTTTCCCATACAATTGCAATTGAGGAGTATCCACATGTTGAGACGAACCCATATGTTTGCCAGACTTGTGCTCTTCCTGTTGCTATCTGTGCATTCCGTGTCAGTCTTCTTTATTTTCTGCAGTCTCAGTGAGCTCTTCCCAACAAGCTCTTTCGATCATCGTTCATTTCACCTTTCCCCATTTGTTCCAAGCAATTTGATGCAAGTTGGTGAAGCAGCATTTCAAAGAAGCATACATACATCCTTGTTTTGGTGTACATTGCATTGTTGTATATATATATATCCCATCATGTTCAACATACATATATATATAATTATATATATATGTATACGTATAGATACTAACATAATACAAACAATACAATATGATATGATATGACCTGATAGGCTATGATATGATATGATACGATATACTACATTGACATCATACAATACTGCACCATAGAAGAATGCAATATAATCTAATAATCATTGTATACTATACTAATACTATACTAATACTATACTAATACTATAATATACTATACCATATTATACTCTACTATACCATACTATACTACACTACACTACCCTATTCTATGCTATGCTGCGCTATACTACACTATGCTCTGCTATGCTATGCTATACTACGCCATACTACGCAGCATTACAGTACATTATACCATATTATATTGCAATATAATATGATATATTATACAATATGTTAGATTTTCAATCATATTATAGGATAATAGAATATGATATGCTGATAATGATAGGATACGATGTACTGTGATATGATATCATTTGATTTAATATGATACGACATAACTTAACACATACAATATATTGTAATGTTTCACATCATATACTCTGATCAAATACAATACCGTACAATACATCATATGATGTTCATAGTGAATTTCATTTGATACATACGATACTATGGTATATTTTATAGATGTACTATCAGTTTATCAAATTATGCTATATATGTACATCTATACACCATAGTATCATATTCATTATATATATATACTGTAATTATATAGAAGTACAATCATATAATCATAGACTCTTATACTATATATATATATATCATATGATACATATAGTATCATATGATACATATAGTATCATATGATACATATGATGAAAATAGTTATATAGCATCACATATACTACAATCATATAGTACCCATATCAATCATATGATCATACACTATATAAATATTATTTACGCACTATGGGTACTTCTCCCACGCATCAGCAGGCGGAGAGTCCAGAGAGCCCACAAAGAAGTGAGGTGCCTGGTGATTTCACCATTAAAAACTGGGAGTTAGGCATCAACAATGTAGATTTAATCATGAACAATGGTGACTTAGCCATGGAACCTGGGGATTTCATCATCTATAAATGGTGGATTTTTTGTATCGATGTTGGATGTTGGATTAAACAATTCATGGTTACCGAAGGATGGCCATGAGTTTATGCGTTAGAATCACATTGCTTTGATTATAATGGCCATATATAGATTATATGTAATTAATCATAACCATCATGATGTTATATTTAACCATTACATAACCTATATAACCATTATAATCATATCATCGTTTCACCAGGCTTATCTTTTGACCAAAGGATGCTGTTCGTGCTGGCCCATTGGAGATTCCAGCCCTTTTGGATTGCCCATTGAGTCAACCGATCAATAACCACTAATGGATGTTTGATGAATATACTGGATGCTTACTAACTTGCACATTTGTTATACGTAATGCTCATAAAGTGAATATATATATATATTTGTTTGTAATGAATTAATGAGTATTTGACACCATAAGTACCTAAACACATCCATTCATGAACTATCATATCCATCCATACATATCATTGAATGTCAAGTGAACTATGCCAGGTGAATCTGTAAACCACAAAAAAATCCAATGGGGTAGCCCATGGAAAAATTTTAAGACGCCAGGAAGAGCGAGACTTTGAGATCGCCGTGCAGGAGTCCCAAGAGGCGATGACTCAGCTGTCAAGACCGGCTGGGGACTGGGTGGACCATGGTGGTCGCTGCAGGTGGCCAGGAAACGCTCTGGCAGATCTCTGAAATCCACCACCAGCGCAGCATCTTTTCAGCAGCTCGCTGGCAAAGATGTTCTGTGTTCAGTCATGTTCAAAACTCGGATGATTGGCTGAGTGTTTTGAGAAGAAACACATCCAACATGAGGAGACCTGAAAGTCATCAGTTGAGTCATCCATATCCACCATTGGTCCATCATTTCTCAAGTTTCGTTCAGTTGGCTTGCTGGAGGAGCGATGGTGTCTCTGCACCTCGCCTCTACAAGCCTCCCACATGGATGAGGAGGTCCAATTTTGGGCAAAAACGGGCCCTTGGCCCGAAGATGTTGGCGATTTAGACCTAATGACTGGGATAAAACCAAGCATTTATATGGGGCATATGCTGGAGAATGATTGATAGAAACAGCAGGAAGATGATATGGCTTTGTCATGCTTTGTCCAACAAACACCTCAGAGGATGGCCAGTTTAATAGGAGAATGGTGATCAACCATGAAAATTTGGGGGCTGATCCTGGGAAATCCGTAGCGCCTGGCTTGTTGGGACGGCGGCAGGCTACTCACCAGCAAGATTTTTCTGATGAGCAACGTATGTATCATTCTCCTCAACATGATTTGGACAGGCGGGGCTTCCAGCTGCGGTCATGCAGATGAAACGGCCGAAACACACATTGAGAGATCGCTGAAGATTTTGTGAGTCAAACTCAAACCATCAGGAGTCAGGAGAGATCTTTTCTGCTTTGCTGTGTGGCGTTTGAGGGGTTTGATTGGCCTTGGAAGGATTTGACTCCAAGGTCTCCTGTGTTTCCGCAGGCTTCTACGTCAACAGTTTGGTGAGGCAGAACGAAGATTCTGTGGAAGCTTCCTCCAGCAGCTTCAACGCTTTCTTCGTGGTCGAAAGCATCTTTTCAGGCAGAACCTGGTGTTTTAGAGGTGCTCCACCTACAGCTGTAATAGGCGAAGACATTTATCAGGGAGCTTACCATGCAGAATTTTGAGGCCTGATTTTTGGGTGTTGGGGGGGTTGACATCGCAGGTTGCTTCCTGGCGGAGCTCATCGTACGCTTGGCTCACTTTGTCACTTGGAAAATGGTGGGGTCTGACGGTCTCACTGGTTCCCGGCCTCCCAGATGTGCGAACGAGGCCAGCTTGCGACTGTGGCATGATCCATGGCTGTGCTTTGATATTGTGGTCATTGTGATACTTGGATTGCACCAGCCACATGACGTCAAAAGGTCCTGGCCTGGTTGTTGAAAAGTCCCCTGGTTAGCCATGGCACTAGAATTTGGGATGACATGACACCACTAACTAGAATTCCCCAAGACACCTCCAGAAAATGATGAACAATGACTATAGGTTTGTCTGCCTGTCAGCGCGCTAAGGATACCACCCATGGAGCTTTGGGTTTTGCGACCGCTCGGGTGGGAATCAGGCCGGGTCACAGTTTTTCTGCAAAGGCAGTGTTGAGAACCCCTGTTGGTTGACACCCTTTGCCCTTTGCATATTGCGGATTATCATGGATTATCATCATCTATGAGCTTGGAATCATTTGGAATCCCGTTCGCCACTAACCATCATTTCATGGAATGTAATTGGACTACAAGTCATAGCTGGAATATCACTGGATTATAGCTACCAAGATCTACCAAGCCATGACTAGGATCATTTCGGCAGGCCATCTGGGGCCATCTGACTGGTGCTATCCGAAAACATGTGGCGCACAGGATCCACCACCGTCACGGTGGTGAACATTTTCCGAGTCTTCCGGGTGAGTCGAGGCTTTCCGGATGGATATGTGGGATATAATGGATGGATCTACAATGGATATATAACTTATATGACCATGTAGTGAATCATCATTTCCCAATACTTTCAATCATTCAATGGCTCCGATGCTTCAGCGTTTTGAAGGATGCGTCCTGGTTGGCTGAAGCGAAAATCAGAGAACATTTACAGGAGCCCCTCCCATATTTCATAGAAAAGTCCAGACCAATGCATGGAACAACAAGATTGCACTGGAAAGGAATGTATTTCTATTTTTGAAAGCTTGGCTTGGGAAGATGCCCAGTGAAAAGATGTGGGCGCCTAGCCGCAACATGGCCCCAACTATTCCCATGGAATCACAAGGACTCGACCCCTTGGTTCAATCACATGTGGTTTCCTGCTGTTCCCTTCAACCCATCCATTGACCATATGACAGAAAATGGTCGTTCGGTGGGTGGTTTCAGACATGTTTTATTGTCAATCATTGTTCTTCAATAAATGATGGCACCCAGTGGCTGAAATTTGAGATGGGTTGAAACCACCAGCGGTCCTTTCCAATTTTTCAACGGAACAGGTGTTGCACTGCTGGCCAGTATCAACTGGTTTCGGCCCATGTATTTGGCCGCAACTTGGTGATTCGCTGGGAGCCACGGGCCATCAACATTCGCATCAACCAACCTAAGATGCCAATGGTTCGATAGAAAATCACCCAAAACTGGGATGGATTTAGATCCTTCATAGTGGTGCCAAACAACTTATGGTAAATATATCTATAGTTGATGAGGGTATAAAACAACTTATAACTGGGGGGGTACCACATTGTTCTAATTTGAATTTTAACATGTTTTGATGAGGTTCAAAGCAAAGAGCAATCAATTCTTGTCCTTTGGGATCGAAGGAATGGTGGCCATGTATATTCGACTTCGCAGGATGGCCGTTGTAATGGGGAAAATCATGGGAAAATCATGGAAAAATCAGGGAAAATCATGGGAAAATCATGGAAAACCCCTATGAACTTTGGAACTTTGCTTTATTCCCCTAACATTTGCAGGCCCCAAAGCCAGATGGCCGGATGGCCGCAGTGCCGCAGGCTGTGGGCTTCAAACATTCCATTAATTCGCTTCTGGTGGTGGCCATTTACATTGGAACCTTGAAGCCTGGCTGCAGAAATAATGTGACCAAGCTGATTGGAGAATGAGCCAACAGGTCGGCACTTCTGAGCCCAACAACTTGGGAAAACAACTTCGAATCATTTTTGCAGAAGAATTCCTATATCAACAATTATTTTGTGTGTTGGGACCATTGCTTAAAGTGTCTTCACTATCTCCAATACCTCACTCTTGTTCCTCATGGAACACGACTGAGCTGAGTCTCTTCACTACATCCCTGATCCTTTGCAATCTCTTGGGACCGTCGAGTCCGGATCACGCAAGCTTTCCGGACGTTGTGCGCTGCTCGGTGGCGTTGGGTAAATGTGGGTGACCAGGGAAGAATTGTGTCCAGGTTCCATCAAAAACACGATACCCATGGATACCCTGAGATTCACTGGTTCATCATTTTCACCATACACTTTTTCAGACACAACCGCTTAACAATCATCTCAATATTTCAACATATCCCATCATATCCCTACATATCCCGACTACTTCCCACAATTTGGGGTTGTGTTGCTCATGACCAGTATATGTGCAAAAGCCACATAAAAGCCCATGAAAATCCTCATTTTCAACATTTTTCAACCACATCTTGCAGATCAGATTTTTGAGGTGGCCGATTTCGCTCGGTGGGCGTGGGTTATCTGACCTTGAGCGAATGCTTGTTGGGTGGCATCGAGTGGGGCCCCGAGCTGGTGGATCAACTGCTCCGGCAGGACGGCGAATGGTAGACGTGGGAGATGAAGCTGTGTGGTGAAGATGCATGTGCGTGCATATATATATATAACTATATTGTATATATATATATATATGTACATATATGTATGTATGTAATGTAATGTAATGTAATGTAATGTAATGTAATGTAATGGTATGGTATGGTATGGTATGGTATGGTATGGTATGTATGTATGTTTATCCATGTATATATATATATGTATATATATGTATATATATATATGTATGTATATATATATATGTATATATATGTATATATATATGTATATATATATATATGTATGTATATATATATGTATACATATATATATATGTATGTATATATATGTGTATATATATATGTATATGTGTATATATTGTTATATGTATATGTATATGTATGTATATATATATAAATGCAACGTACATTTAGTTGTTTTTAAACGGTGGCATGTACATATATATGTATATATATATAGAATATATGTGTATATCTAACGTCTATATACCTACAAGCAAGGGTCTATGCACAGGTTGAGAAGCGAACAAGGATGGATAGAGATGGAGGTGGACAGAGATTAAGACAGATCAAATACTTTAGATTGGACTAGAGCCAGACGGAGATATATAAATAGATGGAGACACTTTTGGCTACAAGGCCCGTTAGCCTTGTAGCCACATTTCCAACCTTACATGAAAGGTTTTCTACTCCAATGTCCAATATATAATATATTCAAACGGAAATTTGTTGGCAGTGTGTTGCCTTGCTAAACTGTCTTTGTCCCTCAAATGCTGCCTACATGTTTGCAGAGGAACACATGTGTCAAAAAATGGGGAGTTAACTCCTCCAATTCATGTTTATTTTGATAGGAAAAATGATGATCAACAACAAAATCTGGGTATTTCCAATGGTTTTTGGTGTTTTTCTATCCAGAACCATTGGAAATGCCAACTTGTGAACTTTCTCCAGGAGATGGTCTTTGCAGGCCCAGACGCAAGGGATATGGTTTGTCCAAAGATGGGGTGCTTCTGCAACCCAGCGGTCATGATTTTCTGGGCCTGAGCGAGGACATCAAAACACTCCCCATCTGCGTTGGTCTGAGAAAACAGGGTACCCCCATTCCATCCCATGACCACAACCTCATTTTTGCCATTCAGCTGCCATCGTTGGTGGGTAAATCATGGTATAAATCCTCCATTTTCAGACAGACCATAGAGATTTGACATCGCTGACCCCCTGGACCTGGGATGACCTGGGTACATTTGGGGAATTCACCTTGGTGGCTCCCCCCAAAATTCTAGTACTGGATCTATGCATTTTTGGTTTCCCTTATTTGGGGATATCCGGGATATTTTGGATATAAGGGAGATTAAGGGAAGTCATAATATATTCTAAACTATATCATTCCGAATCATTCCACTAGAATATTTCATTCATTCCTCATCTGAGCATTCTGACAATCGAAGCGCATGCCTTTGCCAGGCCTGGTCCTCTTGGGCTTTCTGATCGTGGGATCCTTGTTATGGCTGAACACCGTGGCTGGCATCTTCATGCAGCAGGCGCGGCCTGGAGGGAGCCCTCTTGGTCAATGGAGCTGAGGGTACGAGCATCAAATTTTAAACACCAGTTGGGATCTAACCCCTATAACTACCATGAAACAACTCCACATGCAACTCAGAGACCCAGATTTTCTGGGTCCAAGTCCATTGGAGATACCATACTTTTGTGGCAAAGTTTAGAGGGAAACTTGATGATCAACCATGGGAGTTGTCTGTGACATGGGGACTCCACCTGCAATGGTTCCAGGTGGATCGTTCTTTTGAAGTGACGAACGTGCACCAGTTCAAGGATCCAGAGTTTATGGCTGCTACAAAGGAGATCCTTCGCGAGTTTGTGCTTGATCTGCAAGAATCTTGGCATGAAATCCGCAGTGATCCGGAGTGGCATCTGCATTTGCATTTTTTGGATCTCAGAGAGGCGAGCAAGGACAACATTTTTTGTGGTTCCATAGTTGCCATAGTTGCCATAGTTGCCATAGTTGAAGAGTAGCTTCATTTCCAAGGATTTGGACCAAGACAATAGCCAGTCGTTGAACTGGCGTCAGATGCTGGGATCAAAACTTGCCATTCGAGGCTTTGAAATCAAAGCTATATGGACGTTTCCCCCAGCAAAAATTGGGGGTACAACAAAACCATGGATTTTCGAATCAAAAATGAGCAATCGCTGGGATACTTTTGTTATTTTTGGGGTACCCCCATTGAAATAGATCCCCCCAGATGATATGAACCCACCTTGAAATGACCATGATTTGCGTGTTTTTTCCCCCAAGGATCTCCTTGGTAGTGACGCACCATTTGGAACTCCTATCGGATCTTGGAATACGCAGCATGGCTAAAGCAAGGTGCTCAAGCTCCAAATCAAATGGCTATTCGATGCTATTCAGATATCGAAATCATACTGTAAGGATCATCAGGATTCATGCTCTTCCAGATTTCGGCCAGTAATCATTGTATTGGAATAGCTCATGCCCAATTTCTGCAACTAGACTAGAACTGGCAACTCGCTAATCTAGCGGCAAAGTGCATTGCATTCGACCAGTTGTGACACGTCTATTCGTGACTACTTCATACGACATTCTTTGCCTCTCATTAGATGCCCAAAAAAAGCATCCCCAAAGTCACCATAAATGGGTGGTGCAAGCCATCGCACATGGTAGATTTATGATTATGGCATTGGGTCGCGTACTGATGGGAACCATGGTGCCTGTCCCCAAGGGATACTTTGAGCCCACCAAGCACTTCTAGTCTTAATTCTTAATCATGAATATATGATAATATATGTTCCTGTTTGGTTCAGTGTACATCCCCATTATGATCATTATGTCCCAAGCAGCCGAGTGCACAAGGTATGCCTGAAGCAAAACGTATCTTCAGCGAGTTGGACATGAACAACACCGGATATGTGTCCATCCCCATGTGCCTGCGGTGAGTTCAAACGGGAAGGGTCCAGTAAGGCCAAGGGTCAAGGCGGTCAAGGGGAGGTTTGTTGGATTTCAAGATGTCAGGTTTCAGCAGACATTGCCCGAATCTTGCCTCACAGACCTGGTGCAAGCAAGGTTCATTCAGAGACTGATCGAGAATTTGAAGTACAAAACCTTGGAGACGTTGATCTTTGAGAACCAGCAGTCGAGGTGTGGATGTATGGACACTGGGAGCAGTGCATGAGACTCCGACTCCTACTGTAAGCATTGGCTTTTTTGCAGAGGTGTTTCAGAGGTGGTGTGGCCATCACTGCTCAGTTTGTTTCAGTGTCGCAATCAGGCTGAATCAGGTCAGATGACACTTCCCAATCTTCCCAGACCCTGCAGTGGCAGGCTGCTAAGTCTCATGAAGAAGCTTGCACGTCTCAACATCCGATCGTCCAAGCATGTCATGGAACAGCTGAAGCGGATGTCCAGCTCCATAGCTCAGGCTCGGTCCGTCGATTGGGATTTGGTTGTGACCAGCAAAACTGGTGACCATGTTTGATTGTTCATTATAGCAAATGTTATGGTTATGGAGTGATAGTTGCAGTTATTTATAGTGTTAAACCATGTTAAACCAACCAATTTCAATTTTCAATTGATCATGTTGACTTTGACCGCAAAATCACTGAATTTGTGGCCTCTTTTGGAACCGTTGGTATCTAATTTTCCAGCCAAAACCTTGTTGCGGTCTGTAATATTTGCAGCTTCCCGAATTTGAAGCTGGATGGAAAGCTTGGTTGGGTGAATCCAGTTCAAAACTTCATCTTCCCTATTGTTTTCCAATATTCACGTCGCTTCGCGACGGCAACCGCCCGCACCGCATCGTTGGGCAGCCACTCGTAACTGCCAATGATGTCGGCCATTGAGACCAAAAACATCCGAAAGTACTGATTGTCGGAAAAAAAAGCGAAGAATTTGATAGCCATGTATAGCGGACCAACGCAGTTCAAAAAATAACGAAAAACATGAAAAAAACGGCGAAATTGCTGTTATTTACAGTGTTTTTGCGCGGTGAGAAGCAGAAACCACTGCAAATACCATGGTTTTTGAGGGTCAGGTGGCCAAAAACACTGTAATTTACAGTGTTTTTTTAACCAACGTCAAAAAACACTGGTATTTACGATGTTTTCATTCACACCGTAACATAAAACAGCGTAATTTACGAGGTTTTTGGAAGTTTTGAAGCTAGCCGTCAAGCATGCAGAAAACAGAAAAACACTGTAAAAACCAGTGTTTCTGCTATCACAAAACGACGAAAATCAGTCCGAAAACGGGTCCAAAAACTCAAAAATCCGCCTCCGGGCCGGCCACCTGCGGAACCGCAAAAAAAGATGTTGCAAACCAAAAAATTGAGGTCAAAAAGTTGAAAAACACGGGGTTTTTTCACTTTTCGCTTGCCGATTTTGGACGGGCGCGTTCACGAACAGGTGTCTTCCGTACTTTTTTTTACAGTGTTTTTTGAAGGCGAGCGTCACGACCTATCAAAAACAGGAGGTTTTGGCCGAAAAATGGGACCCCCCCCAGGTAAACCTGTAACCTTTTACGAGTGCCATCCGGAAGATCACGCCCCAGCACCTTCGGTGCGGGCGGATTTTCCTATGAAATTGCCATTTCTGGGGATCCCTCACTCCAAAATTCCCATGGCCCACAGCTCGCTACACGCGTTGGACGTTGGTCAACCCAGGTGGAATCCGAGGAGCCCCTGGGAGCTGCTGTGCAGCGTCGCCTTGCTCGGCAGAAACAGCGGGTGGCGACCTCAGTGGTTGTGGCCGTCGTCGCCCTCGTCGTTGTTCTTGTTATTATTCTGTTTCTCCTTCTCCTCCTTCTTCTCCTAGTCCTAGTCCTGCTTCTTCTTCTTCTTCTTTTTGTGTGTTAATGGTTTGTTAAACTGTTTTAATGCTTCATTAGAGTGTCGCAGGCTGTGCCGAAGTGCAGTCGCTTTCTTTGCTTCTGGGGTTAGTGTGGCACAAAACAAGCGCACATGCCGATCTCAGGTGGCTTTCGACTCCTGGCTGATCTGTTTTGAGTAGTGAAGTGGCTAGCACTGTTTCTTTGGGTTCCGGATCTCAGACGGTGTTTCAGTTTGGAATTACCACAACATTTGGCATCAATTGCATGACACCAAAAGTCTTCTAGGGGCCTAAGAGTAGATCAAGCATTTTGACCTGTTGTGGCGGTTTCGGGTTTTGTGTGCCAATCTCTGCTTTTAGCTCACGTGCTTTGTGGATTGCTTTGGTTTTGACATTTTGGAATGGTTTCGATGTCCACTCTATTCTTTTAATGCATATTGATCTGCGTAGGTTTTTCTCATTCCTACAAATTTTGTTGGGTTGTCAATTGTGCTTTCGAAAAAGATAAGAACATCTACGGCGCACATAGTCAGTCCAATGATTTTCCAAGGAATATTAGATCTGCAAATTCCATCATTTTCCATCATTTTCCATCATTTTAGCTTATCATTTTCCAGTCATATTCTGTTTGACCCTGCCAAGGAAAGAGATCGATTCAATGAAGCAATGGCCTCCAATGCAGACCTCACAAAGAATCTCGATCCAGACAGGCATGGTGACCCACATGGGGGCTCCACAAGAATGACCCAAACCAGGCCGCCAGATGTTTTTCAACGTTCTACATGGTGTACTGGTATATTCCCCCGAAGCCAAATTATCGTGATTGGGCTCAAGAACAAAAGGATTTACCGGTACTACTCCCTGATTTTTTTTGTGCTTTGTACCTCTGATCCAGTTTTTATAGATGGATCGGCCTTTGCAAACAAATGGCAGCCACTTCGGACTGCTGCGTCGGCTTTCTGGTCAGCTTCTCATGAGTGGAATGCGGTTCTCCCGGGATGTGACCAAAGCTCTCAGAGAGCTGAGATTTATGCCCTTCTGTATTGCTTGGCGTTTTTTAGGGGTGATCTTACAGTATATACCGATTGCATGAATGTCTTGAATGGATTTAACCGCTTGGTGGGTTGTCATTTTTCACCGTCAGTGCTGGGTCAGTTAGACAATGCTGATTTATGGGAAAAGATGGGGCAGGTCCTTGCTCAACGGCAAGGGACAATTTCACTTCGAAAAGTCAAAGCCCACGTGTCTAACCATGCGCAGCAATGCCAGTACCTAACTGAAGGAAATTCCCGCGCAGATGCGTTAGCCAAGTCCTGCGCCAAAGAGAAACTCCGGGTTAAAATTTCTTGCTTTCGCGATCTCATTTCCCAGGCAGTTGGGCTACAAGTTCATTTGGTCACTACTCTGATGTCACGAACTGAACATTTCGCGCACGATGATCTGGAGCGTTTCAATTCCCCCCGTATACGGACTGCGACGCCGTGCTCTTGTGTACCCCTACGTCGCGTGCGGTCAAAAATTTCAGCGTGCATAGGCGCGTGCGCGTTTTTTCGGAGGTGATCAAACCTGGCTCAGTGGAAACTTCTTTCCTTAACATTTTAAGCAGTGGCAACCCGATCCCTGAAAATCTTAGGTAAACACTCGCAGTTCATTGCATCAAATTTCATAGGTTGCGCAGTCTTCCCAGGGTCTTGGGGCCAGTTGGAAGATTGCATGACTTTTCGTCTGTCACATCTGGTCGTAACAGGATCTCCCAACTTGCCGCAAGAACTCTGGCTACTTGTAGCTACCTTTCTGCTCCTCACTGGTTTGTCCCCGTGAGGGGGGCCACGGCTGAAGAAAGAGTCTCATGGATAGAACTAAGTCTAGATTTTGTTGCGACCCATGGTTGGCAGCCCGGGTGGATTCACAGTGAACTAACCCTTGGTAAGTTAGCTAGACGTTTTCAAGTTTTCGTTGTGAGACTCTTGAAAGCAAATCGTATCCCAATTCGTGCAATATCATCGCTGCATTTGTCCGAATTTGGTTTCAATCGCGTGGCTAGCATCTATCTACATAAGAAGTTCGTGTTCCCTGATAAAGTATTGGCCTTTCTGCTCCAGTGTTCCCGGTCTAATCCTGGCGAGTGGTTAGATCCTACTCAGAAGAAACATGTCGCTTTGTATTGGAAACCTTCCGATTCCTTCGACGTTTTGTTGTGACTGCTCAAAGTTCACAATCTCCTGCATGTTGACCTGTCCTAATTCAACGTATCGGTGATAACGTCTCCAGATGTTGGTTTCATCATTCTGACACTCTGGCTGGATTGATCCCGAGCGGAACCTCATATGGCTGGAAAAAGTAAGTAGATGTATGTAGACTAGATGATAGACTATATGGGGTTTGTCTGATTGTCTCAACATACCATGAAAACATAATTTGCGTCACTTGAGGATCGTTGTTGTAGCTATCATATCAAGATGCCAGCCTTACCACTGGGGTGAGCGCAACACGCATTCCGCCCTGTGTGGATACTGCAGATACCCCTTTTCTTATGGCTATATATATATATAAAATACTTTAATGGGCAAACATGATGATAAACAGCAGTATTTGGGGTCAAACATTTTCAAGACTCCCTAAGTAATTA